AGGACGGAGATGCCACATGGTCCCCAAGCCTCACACAACCTTGCAATGGTAAGACAGTGTGGGTGGGTGTGGTGCTATCAGGCAACGTCGTCGCCTATTGGCAGACTCAATCCCTCATTCTGTCTTTTTGTTATGGCAAAGAGCAAGCATGCACTCCACGTCTGGTGCTTGGCTCGCATCTAGGGCAGGTGAAAAACATGAAGCAAACATGTTATGTCACCAGTGATAGCTTATCCGTGAATTTAATGCAATAACTGTTGTCATCTGATTTATGGTAAGTTGATTTGGTTTGAATCTATGATTATTCTTCCGCAGACCTTCCTACGTGCAAGAAGGAGGTGGAGGAAGTACATGGACGAGGTCGCTTTGTATGGCCGGAGACGGCTGCACTGTCGCTTGTTGTGCTGGACTGTCCAGCAGGTGGCAACGGATCTGATTCGTCCAGTGACGGTAAAGCAGTCAGGCATTGCGGTCGGGACGGCTGGATATCCAGCATTACAGAGACTTGCCGCCTGATTGACACCAGTTTAGATAAACTAGATGATCTGAAGGTGAGGCAATACCCAAGCAGGCCCATTTAAGTGCACAACCTTTATATGTATCATTGGACCTGTAGTACAGTTACATCTCTTTCACTGCTGCCGCTGTCCACTCCAGTCGACAGCCCATTCATGCACTCTTAGTGCCGCTGTCGACTGCAGTCCACCAGCAAGAATGCAGTTCCCAGTGCAGCTGTCGACTTCAGTCGACAGTCCGACTTCGCCCAGTTTGGGCCACTATTTTGGGGTATTGGAGATGTTTAGCTGCCATAGAGGGTTACTGGGCCCTGGAAGAGGTCCATATCCATTGAAATACGCTGCCAGGAGTAGGGGTTGCCATTTGAAAAAAATCGAACCAGCGTCGTTGAAAATGTGTATCCGATTTTTTGCCGAGCGGCGCTGAAAAAATCTTGTTACTGGTTTGCTGTATGCTTCTCTCCAGGATGCGTTCTCCGATATCTCCAGCCCAGAAGACGTGGAGCAAATAGCCGAACGGGCGCTCGAACTCGCGCAGAGTATTATTAACGAGACGCATGCCGAAGAAGCCGTTGACATCTTGCAGCTGCTGGTCAGACAAACTAACCTCACACTCCAGGTGAGGACTGTTTTTTTAGTTCAGGCACACGTGACAAGTGCTCAGTGTTGCTCAATGAAATCTGATGGCGTGAATCTAGCTTGCGCCCTGCGCCAGTTCACGTCCTACTGTCCATAAGTCTAGGGCTGCATAGCATTCACTAACATGATCAGTTTTCATCGAGCAGCACCGTGCACAACAGTAACAGAGTGACATTGCAAAACCCTGAGGTGTGTATGCCAAATGATTAATGGTCATAGTTATACTGTCTGGTCAACTTCATTGTGTACTAGAGTGTGTATTGCCTATGGCAGATGTACGTATTGTGTACTAGAGTGTGTTGTGATGATTGCTGTCACTGCTGTGTGCATGGAATTGCGAACTGTTTTAAATGTTATAAACTCTGCCATATATGGGTGTGTGTGTGTGTGTGTGTGTGTGTGTGTGTGTGTGTGTGTGTGCGTGCGTGCGTGCGTGCGTGCGTGCGTGCGTGCGTGCGTGCGTGCGTGCGTGCGTGCGTGCGTGCGTGCGCGTGCGCGTGCGCGTGCGCGTGCGCGTGCGCGTGCGCGCGCGCGCGCGTGCGCGTGTGTGCTTGTGTGTGTGTGTGTGTGTGTGTGTGTGTGTGTGTGTGTGCTTGCGTGTGTGTGTGTGTGTGTTTGTATGTGCGTGTGTGTGTGTGTGTCTAGGCGACTACCTCAATCCTGGAAAATGCGGACACCATTGCAGATCAAATCGGATCATTGTTTTCTTCTTCGGATGATTACCGATCCATCACAGCAAGGTGGGGTCTGTGTATCTTGGCCGCATAATTATGTGAATATGTGTGCATGTGTGTGTGTGTGTATGTGTGTGTATGTGTGTGTGTGTGTGTGTGTGTGTGTGTGTGTGTGTGTGTGTGTGTGTGTGTGTGTGTGTGTGTGTGTGTGTGTGTGTGTGTGTGTGTGTTTATTGCAACGTGTAAAGTCATACTAAACTGCATCTGCCCCAGTTGCATTTGAGCACTTTGAGTACATTGCGTCCACGATTGACAGTTGTGTGCATTTCATTAGAAAAGCAGCTCACCGTATTGCCGTTAATCTTGCCCGTCAAAATGCAGCCAAGCTGTAATTGCCACAGATGGCAATATCACATATACATGTACATGGTAGTCTGTATTGCTAAAGACTACATGGAAGAGGACGCTTGCTAGATTACTTAACCCTTCGTTTCTCCACCCTAGATTTTACTGTGTAGTCATACCATCCATGCCATCGCTTTAGTTGCATTGACGGCCACTCACAATAAGTATGGGATTACACCACGAGCCGAGGGGTATATCACCGAATATTTTCCGGCTCTGATCTGATGCTGATTGGCATGAACCATGGTTTCCTACCGTACCATGGGATAAGTAACTTTCCCTCCTCTTGTGTGCTCATGCAACCTCCCCGTTGTAGGCTGATACAGGTCTTGGATGATCTTCTGGAAGGGGTCGATGTCGAGTTGGGAAACCCAGTCATCGCAATGACACGCACCTCCGCCCTGGGTGCCCTGTGTCCGGGCGACGCCACCGATAACATCGTCATGGCAACGGAAATGGCTGCCGGTGGTCTTCTGAACATGACGCTTAGTGGAGCCGAGAACACGACGACCGGTGGTGGTAATGCTGCTGCTAGCCAAATGGAGAGGCTCGCGTCGTTCCTTGTTCCGGGTGAAGCATTCGATTTCACACCGCGACGAGGCTTTCTCTGTCCGCGCCCTGTTGTGAAGTTCCTTGTTCAGACGGAAAACTCCCTGTACTTGAGCTTTGAGAACGGGTCGGTTTACTCGACGGTACGGAACCAATCACTCGTCTCTTCGCCAGTCATCACCGCCGTCGTTAGTGAACGAGATAGCATCCAATTCACATCGCAGAATGGCATGATTGCACTCAAGACAGATAAGGTATGCTTGTTGCGTCTGGAGTTTCTCTCCTGCTCACAGCCCCGTGCCATCTCCACACTTATACAATGGACGCAATAACTACATCTAGAAGACTGTTCATTATGACAAGACGACGGAAACACAACTGGACATGACAAACTCAAGACAAAGACTGCTTTTCACACCACAGCAACACGCGCATGCACCAACATACACACGGCATACACAAAATAACGAAAATACAAATAACGAACTACCACTACTATATTATTTTACTATTGAGGCAACAAACTGAAGGTGCTAACACCAATACCAGTTGCAGAATCAACAGCATTGAATCCTCCCCCCCCCCCCCCACCCCCCTCCCCTCCGGATATGCATTCACAGATTGTGTATGGTATACGGTTTTCACTCCATAAAAACTTTTCCTCCTAAACTGTCAGTACAGTTGTGTGTGGGTCACGTTGAGTGCAGAACTCCGAATCACACCCACTCTACCACTGTGCGCTGGTCTTAACGCCACGCATCTGCTACCAGGATGATAATGATCAGAGGCATTGTACGCGTCGTCGTGGATTATAGCGATGTAGCAAACTGAATTGAACTCATTTGCATTGGCCGAATTTAGCTCATTTTTTAAGAGACTCAGATGCAAGTCCCTGTAGCCCCTGAATGGGATAACATGGATGAAACGATGAAGAGGGCCATGGTTGCTTTGTTTTCTCCCTGTTCAGTATTCCTGTTTTGTGACATACCGTGGTGCGTAGGGTAAGCCACTCGTATTTGATAATTTCCTGTTTCTTTGTTCCTTTTTTAAATGTTTTTTTTCTTCAGCCATCAACAACCCACACTGCGACCTGCGCCTTCTGGGACCTGAATGCAAGTAAGGTGACGATGATGCATGACGGCTATGTTTGCTAGGTGTCAGTGTGTGTCCAGAACTCACTGGGGATATGCGCGGGGGGGGGGGGGGGGAGGGGGAAGGGGGGAGGGGCAGGGGGGAGGGGGAGGGGAGGGGGGATTAGCCTATCATGCACACCATGTGTATACAGTACCCACCGGGATGTGGGTGGCACTACAATGTCTGAATATCTGCTCTGAGGCGCAGTAACGTGACAGGATATTTAGTTTGATCACTTAAAACGCTGGATGCCTATAGAAACTTTATTTTGGATATGAAATCCAATATCTCTCCATCTGTCTGTTTGTCTGTGTGTTTATCGGTGTATGCATCTGTGTTGCTGTGTTCTGCTGGTGTACTAGGACAATGGAACTCCAGTGGATGTACCACTCTCTCCAGTGATGAGCACCCATTCCTCACTGAATGTCATTGCAACCACCTCACTAGCTTCGCAGTACTCATGGTCAGTACACTATTGGTATTATGCATGCATTATGCATAATGCATAATACATAGCGCATTATGCATTACACATCTGAACGACAAATCACCTGCCAGAAAGGCACAGTCTCATTGACAGTTACATGGCTGTGTGCAATCATCTACTGGCTACCATTGCTCAAGCTGAAACAGCGAAGCCACCGTAGGCCGTTTCTGTCATGCTGAATAGACGGCAGGCATTGTTGGACACTCTAAAGACGTCTATGAGTGCAAAGTCTTTGCCCATTTCCTCCTCGCGTTCACTATTCTGAATAGGCGACGTGGAGACAATGATTTTATTGGAGCAGTGAATAAGGAAGCGGACATTGATAATTTTGCCTTCACTTCTAGAATCAGTGTTTCTTGATCTGCTCTGGAAATCACATTTTATTCTCAAGAGGCCTATTGGCCCATGCCGATCGACTATCTGCCATAAGAATTTCTGGAACTGACTCTACTTCAAATGTTTGTCTCAGTCTGAAAGAATTTATCTGTATCTATGCCCTCCTGCCTTTGTATGGTTCTGTACATTCTGGGCATGTGTCTGTGCATTTGACTGTTCATGGATCTGTTCATTTATCTGTGCATGCATCTGTGTATGCAT